AAAATTTCTCGATAGCATCAAAAAAGATTTGTTCAAATATTAGGTTTAAAGCTTTAAAATCTTCGTTTGATGCAAACAATTTTTTTTTTTTCGGGAAATCTGAGTGAGAAACCGCATTTTGTCTGAAAATATATGTTTAAACATTAGAATATTGATTATGAATAATTTAGTTTATGTCAAAACCACACATATAAGTAAAAAAAAACGATGATTTATTTATTTTGACAAGTTTTACATGTTTTTCAGCCTTGTCCTGCGTTTTACGATGTATATTTCGCTCGCAAGCGGAAGTCACTGTGGACGATGGAGTGAACGCTGTGAGAGTGCTCAGATTTTGTTAGAAAAGTTGCTGTCGGAATGAAGTCTTGAGGGGTATTCAGCAAATTTCCAGCGTCTAAAATATTGATTTCATTCAGTATACATTTCATCAATTCACGCAAAGACCACGACTGTATCCCGTGCGCACGTGTAATGTTTGTTCTGACCTCTGGCGGTAGTTTTTGAATGATAACAGGTGTAAATAATGAACCGTATGTAGTCTCATTCTGATTCAATGAAGCTAATGCTCTGATATATGTCTCTGTTGTATCATAGAATTTTCTAACACTCTGTATAGTGTACCTGGGTGCTGGAACTTCTAGTAATGCTTTCATGTAAGTTTGTATAATTCTGTCCTTTTGACCATATCTCTTTAACATAATATACTCATCATGCTCAAGAATTTCTGTTTCTATTTGTTCTTCCTCTTCGTCTAGAAAAGAATCAAGAATCTTTTCGTGAATCTCCGTGATCGTCTGCTGTTTCTGTTTGAGGGAATCAATGATCGTCACAAGTTCCTCGTAATCGGCTGCCTCCCGCTGAATTATCTCGAATTTGTTCAGGAGTCGTGTAACTGCGCCTTTGTGACCCTTCTGTATAGGACGTTAATTTTGTTGCGATAGTGCTATCCGGTTCGCGGGACCATAATGTTGGGTAAACACTATATAATCAAAAGATTGCATTGGTTCTTCAATAACTTCGTTAAATTTCTGGTTACCGGAAGTCAACCCATATAATGACGTCAATACAATAACATATGAATAGGCGCGTCAGGCTAAACGTGACGCTAATATTGGCCCATAACTCAGTACATACATATGTACGTAACACTCCGGGGGCCACAATGCTTGTTCAAGATCATATTAAATAAAATAATAATTGTACAAACTGAAATTCAATGAAATGAAGTATTGTAACTTAGAAACTTTGAAATCAGATATATCAATTAACTTCGATTTCATATGTTTTTAATGAACTATTTCAACAACAATTTAGTTGACTCCCATTTGAATAAAAGATATAGATTCCACATTTTCTTAAAAATGATTTCAATGTCAGGTCCGTGACCGTAAGCGGGCCCACCGTAAGGGGGAATTCTTAAACAATTTCCTTTTCCATGCCTTTTTATGGCAATCTTGCCAACAAAGCTATAAAGGAATCTTTTCCATTTTTGTTTAAATCTATTTTATGTAATTTTCTACCTTTACCTTAAACTTACTCGGAATTGTCTATGAACTTTTTCTATATTTTTATGTTAGACTATGCTTTTTCTGCCCTACGCAGATTGCGCATGTGGGGGGAAATACTACTTCCGGTCGATTTTTCATAGCAACGGACCGCGTCGTAAAAAGGTCTTTATATGCTTTTATAATGTTATTTTAGTGTAAGATAAGTTCAACATAACAGATAGTTTAAATTACTTCCGATTTAACGTTTACCTAACGTAAGGCCGGGTTCTGCTTTTGGTTTAAACACATTTATTCCCGAAAGTATATATAGTGTACATGCAAATATATAACAAACAAATTATTTTTACACAATGGAAAAGGATGAGAATGAAAGACAAGTCTTATAGAATTCTTCTCCTTTTCTACTTTTCAACCGTAAATGATTTTAAATTAGTCTCGATATTAATATAAAAAATCTTCGATTATTTAAATTATTCGAGGTGTTTTCAGAACGCATGTCTCCATTGTGTGTTTTTTTCTTTCTTTTTTTCAAAAGCAAAATATAAAGTAGGAAATAGTCACAAACAAGAGAAGTACATGAGAATCGTTTTAAAATATGCAGGCAGAGTATCCTGCATGACGTCAGTGGTATTTCCAGTTATCAGCAACAGTCACGATTTCCAATAGATAAGCATGCAATCAGTAATATGCTAAACAATGAAAATGACATTAGTAACATGAAAGTGTTACTAATAAACATTGCCAATTAGTTAGCTGCACGGAACTATTTATCATTTTGTTTTCAAAGTAACATGCATTATTTGAGCCATGTCACGACAAAACCAAAATAGTGCGTTTGCGACCAGCATGGATCCAGACCAGCCTGCGCATCCGCGCAGTCTGATCAGGATCCATGCTGTTCGCTATCAGTTTCTCTACTTGTAATAAGGATGGTAAGCGAACAGCATGGATCCTGATCAGACTGTGCGGATACGCAAGCTGGTCTGGATCCATGTTGGTCGCAAACCCATTGTGTTGGTTTTGTCGTGACGCGGCTCATATTTTATTTTTCGAAATAATGAAACAAAAAAGATGAAAATAAATAACCGAATGATCGACATCAGTATGTCAAATTATGTTGCATTCTTTCAGAAGTAAAACGAATTTGTGTTAAAGAAAGCCACCCAAGTATGCCAATCATGTATCTATTTTATGTTATTACGATTACGTCTAAAAGTTTTCCCCATCTCGCTACCTACCCACTAAGTCAATGCTACCCAAAACATTTAATTGCCTATAAAAACAAATCTTTCTTTTTTTTTTACTTAACATTGAAATAGGGTGTCAATGAGCATTTCATCTTTACATTTCGCTCTGCATATAATTTTAATAAAATCCACAATTATTACAGACATAAAATGATTATATTCAATAAAAAAAAATTTTGTATATAAAAAAAATTGGCATACCAACCCATCCCAAATGTACATGGAAGGGAAAGCAATACTAATTCTTAAGGTTGGCCTTACATCGTTTCATCTTACTCAGTTTTAACGGTTAACGTTTTGTAATAGTTATACTACATGAAACGATTAAGTTACGAGAAGATAACACTGTTTGGGGCGACATCAAAGGATGTTTCTGCTAAAAAATGGCGAGAACAGTGGAATTAAGAATAACAGTCATTTTTCATTGACGCGCCTATAGTATAACGCTAACAATCGCGTCTTTACAATATGTTTGATAACGCTAATGACGTCACGTCAAAATATATGCACGGCCGTGCAATACCATTTTTACGGAGTCGCAAAATCGGCACGGGTGTGTGATAAAGTTGTTTATTACCTTATGTGTAGAGATCTAGAACTAAAACCATATGCAATGACATTGGTTAAGTCTTAATGTTTTTGTTACAATTTTCAGGTTTCATCAGTCAGGTGTCGGAGACCTAAATATATTAAATCAAGAAAAATAAATGAGCCGCGTCATGACAAAACCAACATAATGCGTTTGCGACCAGCATGGATCCAGATCAGCCTGTGCATCCGCGTAGTCTGATCAGGATCCATGCTGTTCGCTATCAGTTTCTTTACTTGCTATAGGGTTTGTAATGTTAACAGATTCATCTATACAACATTGGTATCCATATTTTAGAGACTAAATAAGAGCACAACCTTTTATGCAATGTATAATTTTTTTACTTTGGTTAGCACTCTTATATGCCAATTGTAAATATTGAAAATGTTTAGGAAATAGTTCATGATGTATTCACAGAAGAACATTTAAATATTACTCCTTGTACTTGGTCTTTTCCGGAAATATATAATATATATTATATCTAAAGTTGTTTTTCTTGGACGCTGGTTCGATCCTAGAGAGAGACGTAATTTCTCCTTGCCAGTTGATCTTGGACATCGTGTCTAATGGTCATTTGTTTCTCACAAATTTTTCAGAAACAATATGAGGTTAGTAGTCTGTCACTTGCAGATAAATTGGAAATTATTTATTACTTATCCAGGAAAGCCGGTTAGGTGAATCGACTGCCGAAATTTGACAAAAAACCTGCTGTGTTATCTCTTTCATTTGATTCTTCCATTTTTTACGAATATTTAAATGATTTCCGCAACACCATTTTTTACTTTCAGGGCAAAGCTAGGAAATATGGGTGAGTGAATGTATTCCCGTGGTTACTTTTTTTAGACAGATACTCCTTTCGAATCATGACAGCTAAAGGAAAACGTGTGTTTCCCATTATATCATATACTAGTATTTTTAACCGCAAATATCGGAAGAAGTTATGTTTACAAACCCAAGATCTATAAAAGATAAGCCATGAGCCCTTTAAACATTTTTTATTGTCTAATGCATGCTAGATTGTGGGGGTTTGACATATATGGTTGATAGATGAAATCATGTCGCAATTGTTTATATAATTATGTATGTATGCACACATTCTAGATGGTATATACCATACATTTATGTTAAAATAGTTTGGTTTCTGTCACTTTATATACATTTATACTAGTACTTGTACAATTGGTATTTCATCTATAAGTACACTGGCACTACATCCATCAGTTCATGTTTGTAATACATATGTTTTGTGATATGGGCCGGAAGCCAAAACCAAATAAATCTATTGTCATTGTTATTGTTAATATACATTTTATGTCTTAAGTCCATAAGTAAGTCATTTACGGTAATCTAATTTGATATCAAACGTTTTACATATATTTGAGTTTTGTTTTCCAAGCTGAAACATACGAAATAGAAATGTGATTGTGTGTATGTTTACAACTTAAATTATTATGACAGACTAACTAGTCCTGAAAATTCACTAACATTATTGTTTAAGAAACTTTGCATATCATTGTCACTACTCTTTATATAATATTATGTATTATTTAAATTAACCTATATCTATATGGTTTGATAATAAGTAAAACGAAAATAATTACAGTCGTTTTGCATGGTTTAGCAAAGCATTGAGACAAAAATGCTTAATTTATGTTAGCTTTTATATGGCCATTATTATTGTAAGAAGTAGTCTGTCATTTAAACATCCGCCCATCGTCGGATTCCCACGGCCGAACCATTAACATTCATGTTATGTGACATATCGTTGGTATCCGACGATGACATCAGCCACACAAAGTTGTAAACGATATTCATGTGTTCAGCAAATAAAATATAAGCACCGTTAAATATATGTATCAGCAGGCAGACTAAGTTAAATGTATGAAAAACTTAAATTGCCTGCTCCGAGCAAAATAATTGCAACATGTTCATGTCTAATAAGTCTAAGAAATGGAAAATCCCGAACATAACGTCCTTGGCTCAGTCATCGGTTAATGCCTAGATATTCTTTATTTTTGACGGCATCAAATTCATTCAAATATTATGACATTTTGTCTTCATTTGGTCTGAATAAGGTTATTCTGTTTTTTCCCCACCTTTTTAATGTATCTCATCAATAGTTTTCACTAAAGCCATTCTTCAACATACAACACACTTGTTTATTATTTCATGGATTAGATATACTCCGTTCAAACATTTCAATATACTTTAAATATCGGTCATTACAGAAGCATTTATCTATACTATCATAAAGGTAGTCCACACAAGGCAAACTGCAATACACATTTTAGTTCTTGTTCCCTTTAGCCACTCATTTTGTATTACATGGATCAAGCTACCCGTTGGATATCTGCATGATTGTCAGCGTCTAAGTCAGGATTTTCCATACCAAGTTTCATATACGCACAAATATATTCAAATACTTTCTTCCAGGCTTCAGACACTTGTTTTGTATAGTGTTCCTTCAGTACTTGCTGTAATCCGTAATTTAGTGACGGCCAGAGTTTCTGTAAATACAGTGTTAAACATCAAAATACAATAGATATATATAGAAATAAGAAGATCGTAGCTGTAATAAAAACGTTTAGCATTTCTTTGTAAAAATTCGCAATTTGTGATACGTTTTCGTTCTTTGCACTGTCTGTTTTAATAGAAATACAAAAAATAAAATACATATTAAAAAGCATGTCTGAAGACAATTACATGATTTTCACAATTTTACATCTGAAACTCATAAAGATACACAAGTTTAAAATTAATGACTTTTCCGTTTCTTTATTTTTTGTATTTGTTTAAATATAGTTCTTTTAAATCATGCAAGTTTAAGAACATTCAGTTCAGTTCAATAATCAATAATCGATAATCAATATTCATTTGTTTGCCTATGTAAAAAGTGAAAGTCGTTGAATTAATTTACACGCTGTACAAAACAAGGGACAGGACGTGATTGCTTTGTACAAGCAAGTAAAATGATTGCAAACTTGACAAATTGCCACTAAAATCATGAAAATTTATAACGCCCCGGACGTATTTAATCCAGGTAAGTGGGTTTGTATGTTATTTTGAATATTTTTAATACGTCCATCCCTACACTCGGTTTTAGGTTTCAGTTTCCAAGCTTCTAATTTGAAGAAGTTGTTGAAGATATAAACTCATGTTTATTTTTTGAGATTTGGCAGGTAACTTTTTTGGTCGTGTTTTCGACTCATTTATTTATATCTGTAATTTTTGAAATTCATCAAACAAGACAAATTTGGTATCTTTTAATACTATATAAATGTTTTAATTTGCATGTCCCAAATAAAGTTTCAATACACAAAAATATCTTGTTCAAGCGTAGTTTGGTTGAAAACTTGAAAATAACTTCAAGCATTTCTGACTGCAAATTTATACGTCAATCATACTGTTTTAATTGAGTTGACAGAACTATATTTTGATGAAAGATTTATTAGTAATGTTTGGGTATTTGGGTATTTAGTGCAGAAATAATCAAATATAACAACACGCGAAATTCAACATCTAGTGGGAAATATTTAGAATTTGTAGATTCTGGTGGGAATTTTAATTTAATAAAAAATGTTGAAAATAAACATTTCGTATCAATTATTTCAATTTGTTTGGACAACTTAATAAATAAACCTCTAAAAATGTCAACGCTATATAAAAATAAGCATTTGTAAAAGCAAGTAAAATAACACATTGTGTATATAATTGTCAAGGAAATATCTTTTTTTTTAAAGTTTTATATTTGATTCAAAGATAATAAAAAAGGGTTTTTGTAACCAGTTATAACTTCAATAACTTCGTCAAATCAGAAGCTAGAAAGCTGAAACCTAAAACCGATTGTGTCATAAACATGGCCTTAAGGAATAGGCATATTTCTATATAAACCCACATACCTGGATATAATTCATGCGGCCTTATAGAGTTTCATGACTCGGTTGCCAATTTGTCAAGTTTGTAATCATTTCTATATTCTTTCAATTGAAACAAGTGTGCAACTACTTCTCGCCCTGTCCCATTTTAAAATAGACTATTTCGCTAAAATATATAAAAAGAAATAAATACATTTTACCAACAAAAGTGTCATTATACCTTGAGCATTTGAGGTTTAACCTCTCGTTGTACATGTGTTTGTCCAATTGCAATTAGGACACCATTCAGAAACTGAGAATCATCAAGGCTTTCTACTGCTGCCCCAAGGCCTTCTAACACTGTAACCGCATGTTTTTGTAACATATCACGATCAATATTACACTCAAGTTTATTGTCTTGGTTCATCTGAACTATTTTTGGAAACAGGGACTTCATATTCGGCTCTGTCTCAAAGAACCTGAAATAAAACAGAAAAAATACTTCATAAATATAAATGAACTGTTCAAAAACACATTGAATGTAGATTTAACACACTAACTAGAATTAGATAGGTATTTTTTCGACAAATCTTGAAAAAATGAAAACAATCGTCAACATATGTTTGGTTTGGTTTGTTTGATTTTCCCGCGCACCAACACAGTATAGGTCATTAAGAAAATTCTCGTTTTATAATGTTTGTACATCAATAGCAAGTAAAAAGCAAAAAAGAAGTAATCATTCACAGAATGTTCTATGAATTGAAATTAGAAAAAGCGACCTCTCCGGTAACTGATTTTCAGCTAAATTAGAAAATTGAAGTTGTTCATTAATATCTGAAAAGAAAGTCATACCCTTGAGATTCTTTTAGCATCATATTAATCAACAAATGTTGAAAACATTTTCAAAACTTGCTCGATGAATACAGTTCATACTGTATGATAAAGAAGGTATGATTGATATAGTTTCTTTTTAAAGGGGGACACAGGCAAAATTTTCATTTCTTAGTTTTAAATTTTTCATTCATAATTCTGTAAATGCCCTTAAAATGAATATATTAGACAGTCAAAGGAACAAAACTTTTCTCCATATAAAGAATAAAATGGTGGTTTCCTAACTTGACCCGCGTGGGTCAGGTTAGAGCCCTACCATTTTACAACAGTTGTCAAAGAGAACTCTGGAAACGTAAAAGAACATGTCAAATGAATGACTTAGGCTTGTTTCAAGCATACAATATCCTCAATAGCTGTTATTGTAACTTCAAGGGTTTGTTCAAGTCACTTGACTTGTTTTAAAACTATTTGGTGATTGAATTGGCGTCTTAATTTTGTTCAACATATATAGATATATTTACGCTTCAAACCCAAAATTTATATAATTTAAACAGAAATTCATGCTGAAACTTCAAGAAAAGTTATTTTAGCGTGATTTGAGTGCATAAGATCATTTTAATATTTTTGTCATTATTTTGCCTGAATATCCCTTTAACACATCTTAGAATAACGTCTTATAGTTCTAAACAATCATACAATAAACACAAAAACGCACAAGGTTGAACATGTAAAATTACGATGCTCCAATTTTAATTCTCAATGATTCATTCAATTCAAATTTAGGTTGTTTTCAAGAACATTTTAACAAAACAAGAATAGGCCGATTTCATAGTTAACTCATAATAAATGGCTGGTAAAAGTCACAATAAAACGACTTTAAGGTATTAGGTGTACAATTGACATTGTTTCAAAACTCAATTTAAACATTTTTAAACTTTACAAGGGTAGATGAATATATTATGCAATATAATTGACATCTCAATAATAAAGTCATTACATATTGAAGCAGTTAACTGTTCCTTTCAAAATGTGATGTGTTGATAATATTCTACAAGGTATGCTGATAAATTTCATTAAAATACACGCTGACGTTCAACATTCAATATTCATTGCAACAATGAAGTATCTTATGCAACTGTTTCAAGTTGGATGCATAAATTGAAAAAACGGCATGAGTCAATTAAATATACCTGAAAGTCTGGTAGAAAACGCTTCATAATCATTCTTGAAGTCAAGCTTATCATTGACAAAGATCCCAGACTTACATTTACCAAGATAGCCAATATCGCAAAACATGTTCGTTGACCATGCATTCTTGTACCAAGCGATTGACAAGTGTCAAGAGAGATCTGTACATTATTTTTTTTATCAATATCTATGTTCAAATTCATGTTTCTAGAGGCCGTTCTGTCTCATCCTTGTATTATAGAGATGTTGTGTAAAGAACAATAGAGAAACATTTAAATAAAGTTCGTTCTTCGGCTGATATGAGAGGCCTGTATTTTCTGCATGACTACGTTCCTGCACAAAATGGAGCTACCGGTATTGATTTAATTCAAGAAAAATGAGTGACTGTCCTTAAGCATTCACCGTTTACGACAGACTTGGTACCCTGTGACGTTTCCCATTTTTTCCAGACGGAAACAAATCTTGCAGGTAATAGCTACACTTTTCAGTTATTAAAAGGTATACCTAAGGAGAAGTATGTTAATGGATTAAACGTCAGAAACTTTGTATTTCTGTACAAGGATTTGTTCAAGGGTAGAAATATAAAATTGTATAATATTTGCTGCTTTGACCATATTGCAAAACATGTTATACAATCCACATATTATATTCTTGAAATAAAAAAGTGGAACAGTTAAACGTTTGTATCAGTTTTTTACATTTTACAACAACATCAACAAACATGTTTCCGAAAGTTTCATTGTTTTAAAATAAATAAAAGCGTATCTGAAAAGAGATGCTTCATTTATGCAGGTGTCTGTCAGTTTTGATGAAACGGAAAGAGGAAGGGAGCTTTATCGTCCGGATTTGGAATTATTAACGTTCTAAGTTGTAAAGCTCTGCTATTTTCACTCTTTTGACACTAGAAAGGTTATACAAAAGTAAAAATACTTCTTAATTAAAGTTTTTTTTAACAAATAGAAAAGAATAAAAAAAAATAAAAACTTGATCCCACGCCATTTGAAAACTCCTGAGAAAACCGCGTTTGCTCATTGCAAAAGAATATTCTTCAGAAAGAAGGTTCTACATTTTCGACATATAATACACAAGTATATATAATGCATTAAAGCAATGCTCTTGATATGAAACAAAATGCATTGAATATGTATGGATGTAGCTTCTCCTTTATATAGATCATCATAAGCATATAATTGATTCTATGATACCGACATAAAACAGGGCTAGGATATTTGTCAGTGTGTTTTTTTTTAAATTCGGTGCATATGTCCAAGACATACGGCGTCCTTTTCGGTCCGCTGATTGAAGTCACATCGGAGAGTTCTTCTTCATGCCGATCTTGCTATGTTCTTTCCTTTGTTTGTTGATGATAATGAAGTTCGACAGTACTTCCAAGACATACGTCTTTTATAACAGACAACACCCTTCAGAGTAAGGGCACTGCAGGTAGACCAATCACCTCAGGTCCCACGGATGACTTGACCTTGACCTTTTCCGCAATGTCCTTGGGAGGTGTACTTGAAACTTGAAACTTTTTATTTAATTAAACGCCTGTTTCTATTTAACAATATTCAACGGCGTTGTACAGTACATATAAACAACAAGAATAAAACTGTGAATGCATAAGAATATGTGGATCAACATCAAATGAAATAAAAGCTTTTACATACAATTCCAATTAACATATTTCTAAAAAATTGCAGAGACCATAAAATGATAAAACTGATTGATATACATGTAGCATGAGATAAGATTATTTACATACATGTTACTTGAATACAAATAGATTAAAAAGAATAAAACATTCATTTACATTGCACATTCATCACACTGTCAGTCATCAGTTATATGTTACTCATGTTTATCTCATTTCAGATTTTAAAATAGTGATTCAAACTTTCTGAAAAAATGTGTTTTAAGATTTCTCTTAAATACATCAATATTCTTAGATTGTTTCAACTCTAATGGCAAAAGCGGATTCCACAATTTTGGACCAATAGTTCCGAAACTTCTGTCACTAAATGTGTTTCTTTTATTGAATGGAATAACGTAGCAGTTCTCAGAGGTTTTAGCTGAACGTAGTCGGGTATTTGGTACTTGTAGGAGAATCTTAATCTATTACTCGTTTATGACTGGAGTGGATTTTACTCGGCTAGAATCTCACAAAACACGTGATTCGTTCTAGTAAAACACATTCGAGTCAAATACAAGTAGATCTAGATACTCCTTTTATAAAATACTAGTCGAATTTAACATAAATTTCAATTAGAATTACTGAAACCGGGTTAAAAAACAAACGTATTAAGAAACAAAAATGTTTGAAAATTGCGTAACTGTTTTTGCGAAACATTTTTTTCTCAGGTTAACACTTGATTGCGTGCTGATATTACATATCGTACACATCGCCCATGAAATCATATATCAATCACATAAAACGATTTAATCTGTTATGTTCTTTATAAACAATCTGATGATCAGGTTAATCTCGCAAAAGATGCGAACATAAACGTTAGAAATTCTGTATAAAAGCGGCATCACGAATGTACATTAGAGAAGAAATAACATTGAAATTAAGTGATATACTATTCATAATACTGTAACCAAGTAACCCATTTATGTTTAAAATGCAGAAAGTAAATTATACCCCTGCAATTGGGAAAATATATCTACTCGTTTATTTGCATTACTACATACAACATGAAAATATTTTGAAGACATTGGAACTATTTGAGCTTATGTTTTGTATCGAAGCTACAATAGTACTGAAAATGAGAAATGAAAATTTCCGTTTTTTTTTATTTTAATGTCTATATTTCAAGTAGGAAAGATATTTTTATTAAACTGAGTCTGCAGCATCTTTTGGGATAATATACTGTTATATTTAGCTTACAAAATTTCTTATTTCATTCATTAAAGATATACTATGCTCAAATTTTATATTAGACAATTTTTATAATTGCTACAAAGTCTCTTTGTATATGTAAAATAAACACGTTTTGACATGACACAAAGTAGATATGTCATGTTTAAAGTTCTATACACTATAGGTGGTCACAATATAATATATAGTGTCATTAAAAATCTGGCAGTTTTTTAAAGAAAGGACCAACTTTACTTGTCCCGTAATAGGGAACGCAGCTTCTCATACATAGTTTATAAATTCATTTATTCAAATAAGACATATTCAATAAAAAATTTCATTGGTTTCAATAAATTTCTGGGATTAAAATATTTTGCTCAAGGTTGACCTTAGTACATCTTTAAGATTATAATGCTATGCGCATGCTGTCTTTTAATTTAAATCTTAAAAAGTATTGAGAAATACCATGAAATCTCAATATTTTATCATTACCACTGTTGTTCGTATTTTATGTAAAACAGAAAACTAGTATGATTTCGTCAATCACCAATTTTTCTAGAATGAAGCGAAGAGAAACCAATCCTTGGAACGGTACTCAAATTAGTATTAGGGAATTTCTTTCCATCGGAAATAGCGTGCTCTTTATTGGAGCTTTTTTCTCTCATCTAAAATGGAATATGAAGTTGTTCTAATCGTTTAGGCAATTCTCGTGAGATTTATGTTCTTTCGATTTCAAAAAGTATAATTTTCCATCAATAAAGGGAATACATGCATTTCCATAGCTGCGTGATTAGGCAGACGACTAGTTTTATGATTGTACAGACATATTATTAAATTGATTGTATCATTTCCGTTCAGATTGAATCGCACGTCACTTTTATAACACACAATCTGTCCGTGACAAATTACACCAGATTTTGATAAAATTTACAATGGACTTTATTCTGACAATTTCTATGTGATACGTTATTTCCTTGATAAAAGTATTCTTTAACAAAATTTGTTTGACCGTTTTTTTAATACACCATTACTCTTTTATTTGGTAAGAAATGCAAACATAATTCTGAACAGGATTAGTCTACATATCCAAATTGAATTGTCCATACTTTGGCAACCCAATAATTTGATGTGTGATCATCACGGGATGTAGTTAATAAACGATTTGACCCCCATTTCATTTCTTTATAATAAATGGGTTACCAATCATATTCTGCTACTGCTAAAAAGCATTTCGTTGTAGTTGTTCACATTTTTTCTACCTTCTTTTTATAGTAACACATATTTGGAAAGTATATGCGAGTACATTGCAAAAATCAAGTAGTCATATATGGAACACAAATCTTAAGCTATTTCTAAGTTCTAACAACATTACAAAGTGTTATTCAAAGAGGAGTATTGATCAGATATAATTTTCTTTTCATAGACTTCAAAGTGAAGAAAAATGCTAACAAATAAGACACACCTTTAAAGACAAAATGAGCACTAACCTATTTATCATAGTTATAATAATCGATTTCTGCGACGTATTAAATGTAAAAAAAATGTAACGAAACGGAGACAGTATTTATAGCAGAAACTACAGTGCTTAAATAATTTGTCCTCTTTATATATAATTGTCAATTATTCGAATGTAAGTTATGTACATTTAGACATACATTTTACAATGATGTCCAATTGACAACTAATTTAAGATTCTGCAATTTCCTGACGAATCTCTAAGATAATCATATAATGAAAAATGTACTTACTTTAAAAAAGCACATTCAGATGAAGAAAAAAAATGAAGATAATTTATCGTCTGACAGAGTTTTCACTAACATAATCACGATAATGTGTAGATATAACGTATCTACATTTCTCATGACATAAATCATATATCAATCAAATAAAACGACATAATCTATTGCATTTATCGTAATCTCTGACATATGATAGGCTTATGTTAACACAGGCGAGTGCTACATTAAATCATCTTATCTACGAGTCTTATAATTTATTATAATTATTTAATTTATTATTACATAGAGGATATTCAAGTTTTTTCCTTATAAAACCTGGATTTATTTTCATCGAGTGGTATGAAAATGAATATTTCATATTAAGTGGTTGTAGCCACGAGTGAAATATGAAAATCTTCACGCCATATGATAGATAAAAAATGAATACCGTATTTATAGAAAAATAGAAAAATACTTGATTGTTTTTTTTATTTATGACATATTTTCGATATAATTCGAGAGACTTCCCCTTTAAACTTTATAATTTGACAAACGCACAAAGAGTAGCCTTGCAAGACACCAGTAAAAATGTTTCAGTGCAGTGTAAAATATCTTTTACAGTGAAAATGAGAAGTCTTTGATACTTCTAAATATTTCATTTATAAGTATATAATACATACATTTATTATTTAATTTTATATCATTTTACATAATAGTATTACTGTTGATGCATTATCATGCCTGATCTTGCTAATGTGTTCACTGACTGAAATGCCTAATAGATGTTTCACTACTCTATTAGTTGATGATGCTATGGGTTCGGGTTCCGACAAGAATCTTGGATTCTTACATATAAGGAAGCTATCAAGCTAGCTCACGGAACGTCGGTTCTACTCAGGTGCCCGTCTGAAATTATACAGGGCACTTGAGGTCTTCCTCCACCATTAAAACTGGTAAGTTGCCATATGACATAATTATACTGTGTTGGTCCGACGTAAAACCCAAGCCCCAAAACGGGTTAAATACCTGATTGGTGTTACACTACACTGACATTGATTTACTCAAAAATGCGATCAAGCTTAAAATAATACATAGAAAAGAACCGAAGCGCTGACCGTAAATCTAGAAACGTTGAAAATGGCTTATCGTCCCTTTTTCAGATTTTTAGAATATAATTTTCTAGATTCGATTGCCATCATCATCTTGTATAACAAAATAAAATAAAAAAACCAAAAAAACAAAAACAAACATAAAACTTCAGCTGAATTTATGTTTACATGTTATGTTATTCTTACTTTCTTATTCTTTTTTGTTCTTATTTTTTAAGCATTTTGTATAATTTAAATGAATTGAGTTTAGTCTGAATTACGATAAATATAAGACTTTGATTAAATCAAATATGAATCCAAATTATTCACAGTGAGTGGTTGACAATACTTTGATATTCTATCACATGAGATCAAAGTAAAAAAAAGTATCACCTTAATGATATAAGTAAATGTACCGTAAAGTATAGTCAAGCTTTAATTAAAGAAAATGATGATACTTATTATGAAAAATCAGTACAGAGGTCGCATCTTCCGTTTCATTTAATAATTGTGTTCCAAATAAATTTCAATAATGACCGATGAACAAGATGTGGCATATCAAATGATATTAAGATGTTAAAAATGAGTTAATCCAAAATAAATCGTATTTTTTAAAATAAATACATTTTGAATAGCAATTGATAATTGAGCCGCGCCATGACAAAACCTACTTAATGGGTTTGCGACCAGCATGGATCCAGACCAGCCTGCGCAATTGCTTACGCGGATGCGCAGGCATGTCTGGATCCATGCTGGTCGCAAACCCACTATATTGGTTTTGTCGTGACGCGGCTCATATATAGTATAGTACACACTTTGCTCGTTTACTTGTTAAAATAAATCTAAATAAATAGAAAGTACAATATCAAAATAGAAACTGACAATAATATGCAAATATACAACAGTTATCTATGATTTACCTTGTAAAGATAATAAGTCCGAGCCTTGGAAGGTCAGAATTAATAAGACCCCATGACGACTGTACCAGATAAATTTGGTCTTGTGTCAAACACGTATGTAACTGTTTTCCTTTATGTGGTATCGGTAAATCACAAGTGACAAATTTATTTCCCATTACTCCTTTTATAAGTTATCTTTCCTTTGCAGAAAAGACGTTTACTTAAAATCCATTGAAATAATCCATTCAAATTATATCAATAAGAAAATATTTCAATATTAAATCCAGGTCATTTCTGCATTTATATGTGTCAAAGATATAATTACAATGCAATAATTAATATTTCATTTATTATCATATAGAAGTTTTCATGTTTGACTGTGAAATAAATATCTTATTTAGTTTTTTTCCCTGTAAGAGAAGCATACAACTATATAACATCTCTGCCAGTAGCGGTATTTAACATCACATTTCTGCTCTTTTTATATCACCAATAAAGCTTTTCTGCGTCTTCTTCCTCACGTTCAAGAAAACGCTTGTTTATCAATATTATCGCCAGAACTGTCCACTAAAATATCTGTACGAATAGCGAAGTATTGACATAAAAAGGGGGTGGGGGGAGTATTCATTCTCACATTAAAGTTGTTTAACTGCTACAATTATAGCGTTTGATTTTAATATACATAAAGTTTCCTTCTTGCCGTGTTGTGCCATCATCCCTTCCTTTTAAAAATGGTTTTTTTTTTTGAAAAACCTCCTAAATCAACTTTTTATGATAAAGAAATAATTATAAATAATAATAATAATAAATTGACCTTATATACAAGTAAAAAACAAGATAGGTATAGAGGGTCAATTTATTAAAAAAAATTCACTTTTAAAGGGGTAGGTACTAGGTAGGGTAACGCCAAGACTGGACAGGGGCATCTGTACCCATTTGTGCCACCAGCGTTATGCATGCAAATTTGGACAAAAGAAGGACCAGAAGTCCACTGATTATAACTTGACAGGAACATGCTGACGATAACAGTAACAACTTTTAAAAAAAAAACGAATGTTTTTTTGTCAAAAACGATTTGAAATCTATTCTCTATTGTATAAAACTAATAAAGAAAATAATCAATCGTAAAAATACTAACATTGGCTCTCCCACGTGGAGGAAATAAAAGTATCTATCCATCATACTGAAGGAAAACAAGTGTGCACATTTCATTTACACTTTTTTTTCGCAGAAAGAGTCATTCGTTTTGGCAGTTGCTAATTTCATGTATATAGCAGCTTTATAGACAAGTAAATGCAATAAAAGACTTCTTTACGTGGTACCAATTAATATGCATGTATCAACTATGTTACACCTAAAATATCTATTTCACTTGTCTATACCGACAACACAGGATGTGTTATCTGTGGATCAGCACGTTGTAAGGTTAATTATATGCATGGGCTATTTTAGATTACCTTATACTGTAGTTTTAACTCCACGTTAGAATTGCGTTTAAATACAAGACACAGTAGATCTGAATATAACTCGATTGAAACGGAACATACTCGTTTATAATTTATTTCTTCCTTCTACTTACACTTTAAACCGATAAATCAAGTAAAAATGGAAATCCTATTTATAGAACCAAACTGGGATTACCGACGTAACTAAAAATAGCTTAGATTTCCGTAATATTACTTCGTCTGATTCCGCAATTTGACGGAATCGCCCGAATCGTCACGATTGCAGCGGAAACCTAGACTGGTTTCCCGTTCCATCATGCACTAACACATGTAAGCAGGAAACCACCTAACCGGAACAACTTTTCCAAAACAAATGGCTTGCGGCCGTGGCTGCAAGCCAATAAATTGTAATACAATAGAGGGTTGGCGCATCTTTTTTCGTACATTTACATCTGCAAAATCATGGGAAAGCATTTTAAGCCCAAGTTCGCAGGGCATAAGCTCTTTTTTACATAATAGTATGCGTCTGAGTTTTAATACCGGGCACCCTCAGTAATGAATATTTATAAGTAAAAAAAACACGTGAAATCCCTTTAATATACAAGTGCGTGCGCAATTTTTAACGCAAACATCTTATTTGATAAACATTATGATTGTGTTTGTGGTGTTTTTGTGAATTTCAAGGAATTAAAAGGCTACCTTATGATATTATAGTTCTCACGACTCTAACAACAAGCATCATGTTTCACTATCCGTACCTTCAAATATTTTGCACGTCATTCTAAGAAACCGTTGTGTGTACATGTAAGACTAAAAGTATATATGTTTCACTTTTGACAAAGTAGGAGATAGAAATAGATAATCTAATAGAAATCCATGTAATTAACTAATTGGATCTTATGTTCAATGTTATTTTAATGCGACTAACGGAAACCTATTTCTATAAATGTTTGCAGATTCTATATATTCCTGATTAAATGCTAATCTGTCGGAAATCGTGACTGTATCTCATTACAGGAGACCATTGACGTCATATAAAATCTCGTGCACATTTAAGAGGTTATTGTTGATTTT